TACTTCTAAATAAGTCACCATGCCTCGTAGCATAGTCATGAGAGTCAGAATTTTTTGAGAAGCTCTTGATGTTGAGTTTTAGATATGTTACAGTTTTATAAATGTAAATCGATGGTACCGTCTGTAATTTAAACTTTTTAAAATGATTCCTACACATCATTCGGTAATCTAAGCTAAAGATTGGACGGATTAGTCTTTTTCAATTGATAAAAACTCTGCTAGCATTGGCCGTACTTCCCCAAAGGACAATATTTTAAGAAATATGTGTGAATATGAGAGCACATTTATTAATTGCTCTAGTGTGAATATATTTTTTAGCTGCAGAATTGCATAATAACTACTATTGAGTCTCTTACACACCTGATCAACATGCGTATTCCACTTCAAATTTGAATCTAAATATGTGCCCAGAAATTTTATGAATCCGAAAAATATATATTTTTGTCAATGACAGAAAAATTACCACAATATGTGTGAAAATTTTTGATAGTTTGTCAATAGAGATTAAAACATGAAGTAGCTTAATTATTTCTCAAAGAATCCAAAAGATGTTTTGATTGAACTATATAGATAGAACCGTGCAATTTATGGGAATACCTACATGACTGAATCGTATGATATTAAGATTACAGCTATAATCAATTTGTATTCTTTGCCACTGTTTCCTTCTAAGTTTTTTTTATATAATGATTGAAATCTTTTTGTGAAGTAAAGAGGATTATTATTATAAAGCAGAGTTAGGTAGACTTTCATTTATTCTCAGTGAAATGTCATTCACTCCAGAAGTATTTTGTTTTTCATGTCTCTACTTTTTTCAGTTTTTCAATGTTCATACCTTTCAAGGTAAAAGTTTGTGTGATGTTTATGCTTACCAAGTAATTTATGGGATCTTGTGAGGGTACAGTATCTTCAATCCCTCAGCAACAGAATAAAAAAATGATTAACAAAGTCAAGGTCCATAGAAAACTTTTGTCATTCGATTGCTTCATATTTTTCAATACTTTTCTCTTGTGAATGAACAAGAGATATAAGTTATATTACAACAAAATGAAGGAATGAAAAATCCACTAAAACAAACAATAAATAAAGTGTTGAAATGATGCACGAAGGTGTTGAAAATGTCAAGATCAATGTTACTATTGGCTAATCGCAAGATTCTTGGAATGCAGCTATTGAATGTGTGGTTTAAACGATAAATTGGTACATAAAATGTTTGTTGCTGTCGAGTTGAGCGGTTTTGAACATGTAGATGAATTTTTTTCTAGGATATCAGCACAGCTGCATTTGCCGTTAATAATATCGAAAAGTAGTAGTGTCAGGTCTGTCTGTTACCTTCTAGTTTCAAGGGAGGACATGCTCAGAGATTGCAGTAGCAGTAGAAAAGTAGTGCTTTGGCGTGCTAGAAGCGGTGAATGATGTCGTTAATAAATAAATTGAATAATAAGGGACCGAGGTGTGACCCCTGAGGAACACCAGAGGTTGCTTTGAATAATGTGGAGTAGTGATAATTTGTTATAACCATTTGAGCCCTATTCGTAAGATAGCTACTGATCCATTGTAGTAGTACCCCACCATATCTGTTGAGCTTTTGAAGTAAGAGATTATAGTTGACCCTGTCAAGCGCCTTAGAGAAGTCAGTGTACACAGAATCAATCTGGCAGCTTTTCTCCGACGATTCCGACAGTGATCAAATGTGTTCACTAAATACAATGAAACATTCAGTTAAAAGGGACAAACACATAGACTCATCAGCAAGAGCAGGCCCCTCTGTGTGGTTTCAGTTATCACTCATAAGACCCAATAAACAACTTGCAAAACATTTTTCTGACTATATGGTTTTTATTAGTGAAGCGTAACCTAATCTAGGTATGGACGTGTTTTATGTTTTGAAAAAAAGAGTGAGAATAAAACACTAATGAAGGGACAGATATAAAGACAGTAATTGCAGTACATAAAGTAAAGATTGTGTATAAAAATAGCATCTAAGTGACTTAACACTTGTGTTATGCTACAAAGTAAAACTAATTAATATAAAACTACAGTTGTGTACAGAAAGTTAGGAAACAATTTAGTGGCAGTAATGGTCCTTCCAAATAAAAATAATAGAATAAGAACCATTCTTATATGTTTTTACATCTTATGTGCTATTCTATTGAGACATATCATATTGGTGATTTTTTCGAGTTTTGCTTTGCCCAATTTGGTTGTTTATTTGGAACATGGGCATTGAAATTGTGAAAACAATAAAGAATTTTTACTATGCTGAACCATCAGAATATAATCTGATAATCTAAAGTCAACTTTTTCATCAATTTTACAGGTACAATCGAGTCAACATCAAAGTACTGGCTTCAACGTGAACGTACCACATCGATTTGTAGTTCATAATTACAAACGTTTCACATTTTGCGATCATTGTGGATCTCTCTTATACGGACTGATTAAACAAGGTCTTCAGTGTGAAGCTTGTTCATTAAATGTTCACAAACGTTGTCAGAAAAATGTCGCCAACAATTGCGGAATCAATACGAAACAGATGGCAGAAATTCTCTCGCAAATGGGTAAGTAATTTTTGATGAGAATATTTTTGAACATATATCCATAAGTTCTATGGGAAGTGATATAGTTATAATTCATCAACTGCATTCAGTGACTCAAACAAAACTTAAGTTTCTAGCCATGTGATGGAATTGGCCGGTACTTGATACAAATCCATAATGTATTCAAATAACACTCAATTGTGAGATTTTCCAGCGTTTTTATGGTACTGTATGACTACATACTCAAGCGTTTTCATACTGTAGTATGAAAAAACTTGAGAAAGCTAATGTATAGCATAACATGTGTTGCTGTTGTTTGCAGTTTTGTGTAGAGTGCATAAATTTATAGCAGTTATATTTCAGTAACATTATTCAATCACTACAACCATTTCATTAGACTGTCTTCTGTTCAATTATTATCAATACTCATAACTGGGTCAATTCTAAGTACTTATGTAGATTAAGTGTTTAGAATATTCGCCACTTCCATCCTCTCTCGAATAGTATACATGCTGTTTGTCATCCCCTTCAAAATGATTTATAGTTGCCTCCAGTACATTCTTGAAACCATACACAACTCCCATTCTTCCTATTTCGTTCTTATGCAGTGTGTAAAAGCCAAATGGAATAAATTCATTATTTCAGTTACAGTACACATTTTAACAAAATCCCGAAACACGTCAAATTTAAATTATAATTTGACATACTTCAACAGAAAAATGCTACCCCTATCTTTAACCCCAGTCGAAGGACAGGTACAACCCCCAATTTTTCAAATGGGGAGTATAGGCTTGTGATATATCGTTTGAAAGGTCACTTTATTTTCTATTCAAAAATGGTAATGCTTTCAAGTTTATTGCAACAATTAAAATCATGTGGTTACCGAAATTCGATAAAATACACTCAAAACTTATTTCATGTTGAGGTATCGATAATAAGAAAGTAAGCAAAAACCATAGCGATGTTTTTTAGATGCTATTCTTTAAAAAATTGTAAATAATTTCCGTGGAAACATTAGTTTAAAACGCCTTGTCAACTTTTTTTGTATGTTACAATAGTTGTCGGTATTTCAATTTGAATTTAAAGTTCGTTAACTTCAAGTCTGACAAATGGTTAGATTAACGGAATTGCATAAAATAACAGTTTTACAAATGATTGGTTACGGAGATGAAATCAGAACACAACAGGAAGTAGCTCGCCTATTTCATGAGAAATTTCCTAATTTACTGCCCATATCTCAAGGAACAATAAGCAAAATAGAGAAGCAGTTTCGCGAGCTTGGTCATGTGGGACAGATAAAAAAGCAGCTGTCAATGCAATGAGTGAGTAACTCAAATTAGATGTGATGCTTGAGTTTGAGGAAAACCCACATACATCGAGTAGAGAGGCATCCACACATTCAATGTTAGCCATACATCGATAGTAAACATATTAAAAGAAAAAAAAATGCATCCCTATAAAATGATACCTACTCAGGAGCTCATAGAAGACGATTTTGATAGAAGAACTTATTTTTGTGAGCAAATGATGGACATGTTGGTTAACAATATCATCCTATTAGAAGACGTCATGTTTTCTGATGAGTGCCAGTATCAATTGTACAGATATGATCCAGAGTAAAATGGTAATTTTTGTAATGAGTTCCAGTCCTTCAATCTAAACAAATAATCAAAAAAAGATTAATTGAAATATGTTTTCAGTTCTAGAAAACAATGAATGTTTTTAGATGCAAGGCAAAACCTAAGTTTTTTTTGCAAGTATTCATAGAGGTTTCTAAGTTACTGTCGAAAATTAATCTAATAAATGCTTTTTGAATAATGAAATCGTGTGATTTTTTAGTGGCCTTGAGGTAATTGCTCAGAATTCACAACTATTTGTACTCTAAAGAGATTTTAAATCATTTTCAGATATTGTCAGCTTCTTATAATTTCAAATTTCAGATCTATTTTCACATAAAATATAGTTTTCCTCAAAACATTCTGTAAAAATATTATATTTCATTCAAAAAGAAAATGACAAGTTATCACTGATTATTCGTTAGAAATATTTAGAAATAAGTTTTGTATTTTCGAAACATTTACCCCCTTATAACTTTCAAAGAGATTTGCATGCATTGATAAGTATCCAATGTTTTTGTAGGAATTTCACCCGATATACAGCCACCGAGGCGTAAATTACTATCTGGATCTGGTGGAAATGGAGGTCAACAAGAAGGCTCCCCTGAAAACTCTAATGCAAGTAGTGATCCAACTCCTGAGGATTTATCGAAAATCACTGAAGAGAAAATGGCAAACAGTGGTAAGTTATTCAGGTTGAAAAAAGTTTTAGGAGTATAATGGCTAGTATTTTTTATGATAGTCCTGGTTCTCGATAGGAAACAGGAATTCCTTATCGAAGTTCTATAGAGTGCAGGAAATTATAAGATAAAAATCATCAGATAGAAATCATTTTATTTTTTGAATATAGGTATCGTAAATAAATTGTGTGGTTAGGCTGTGGAAGTCAAGAGATAACAGCATGATAGATGTATTTATTTACCTAGCACAAAATGGCATTTTCACTCTTTCCACAAAATCGTGGGAAAATATTGCAAGCCAGTATCTTTTACGGTTTCTTGATCTGTTAAAATGTGTTGTATTCAAAATATATTCAACCAATATAAATATGTCTACAAATGCTGGCTGTTATTATTGTTATGTGCAAGGGTGACTCACTGAATTTCATTGGTGGTACACTAGATTTTAATGGTACTAAAAATGTTAGGTGATGTATCTTCTGGTTCAGTGTTTAGAAGTCATTTAAGGTAGAAAGTCTTCGAACTAAATGCATATGATTTGAAATTCCAGATGAAGTAGCCAACTCCAGAAAATCACTAGGAGTCACAGACTTTCACTTTGTGAAAGTTTTAGGTAAAGGCAGCTTTGGAAAAGTGATGTTAGCTGAGAAGAAAAATACAGAAGAAGTTTATGCCGTGAAGGTATTGAAGAAAGATGTAATAATACAGGATGATGACGTTGATTGTACCATGACAGAAAAACGCATCCTAGCCCTGGCTGCCAATCATCCATTCCTAACAGCTCTCCACTCATGTTTTCAAACAAGAGATAGGTTATTCTTCGTCATGGAATATGTCAATGGAGGCGATCTTATGTTCCAGATACAACGTGCCAAGAAATTTGACGAACCTAGGGCAAGATTTTACGCTGCTGAGGTGACTTTGGCACTACAGTTTTTACACAAACACGGTGTTATTTATCGTGATCTCAAATTGGATAACATTCTATTGGATGCCGAAGGACATTGTAAGCTTGCTGATTTTGGTATGTGCAAGGAAGGTATATTGGAAGGGATCACAACGTCCACATTTTGTGGTACGCCAGATTACATAGCTCCTGAAATATTGCAGGTAAGTGTTGCAGTTTTTAATTATTATCATCTTTAGCAAATATGTGTTTATGAATAGTCAAATTTGAATGTTAATGCAGATAAGGATAAATAATGTACTTATTTTTTTTTATATTATAATTTTTCTGAATTATGGAAGATATTACGAGTTTGTCCCATTTTTAAGTCTGGAGATCCATCTGTTATTCGGAATTATTGTCCTATTTCAATTCTATTGAACTTTGCTAAACTTCTTGAAATTTTCATCTATAATCGCGTACATTCCTCAGTTCGTAATATCATATCTCCACAACAACATGGATTTATGTCTCGACAGATCCACCATAACAAATTTTATTGTATTGACTCAAAATGATAGTGATGTCTTAGATAATCTTGGTCAAGTTGATGTGATGTACACTGATTTTGCTAAAGCATTTTATCGACTTGATCACATGATCCTTCTACAAAAACTCCACCAATTTGGTTTCCATAACTCAGCATTACTTTTCATTAAATCCTACTTACTCCAACGCAAACAATTCGTATCATATTACAGCTACGATTCTTTTTATTACAATTTTTCATCAGGAGTATCTCAGGGATCGAATCTCGGACCACTTCTATTCCTATTATTTATTAATGATCTCAGTAATTTTTTGCATATGATTTAAAACTATATTTATCTGTCGAAACTATCGACATTGCAAGGACACTTAGAAAATATACAGACTTGGTGTGAAGTCAACAAACTATATCTTAATGGATCCAAACGTAAAGTAGTATATTACAGTAGGAAAATGTCTGTCATTGAGTACAATATACACAATATTTTGTGTATATTTTCATCAAAATTTGTCTTTTTCCAACCACATTAGATCGAAAGTAAGTAAAACATTTATAGTACGCAGTTGTAGATCTTTTGAGTTCAACGTCATTTCCTAAAGTTTATTTACTTCAAATCTTATGGTACCTATCCTGATAGAGGTATTGTTCTTATTGCATGTCAATGACATGCATATTTTCCATTCCTGTGACTTTAGTAACCTGTTTTCTGATGATACAATATTATCTATTTTAAGTAGTAATTTGGATAGCGCTATCAACAAAATGAACAACTCACTAGCAACAATTCATTCCTATCTAAATAACAATAAATTTGAACCTAACATAAATGAAATTAAAGCAATGCTATTATCTACACCATATAAGATAAAATATGTTGATATGTATCAATATATACTTTCAATAAATGGTGAAAAAATCACATTTGTAAACGAGATTAAGTATTTGGGTTTCATGCTAGATAACACTCTTTCTTTCAATGTCCATTTTAATTAAATTTACAGAAAAATTTCGAAAAAGATATATTTCTTTACTAGAGTCTCATCTCAGCTATCTTTATATTCTAGATTAACAATTTATAATACAATTATTCAACCTCACTTTGATTTCTGTGGAAGTAAATTATATTCCTTTGATGCTAACAAAATTTCAAGTCTACAGAAATTGCAGAATCGAGGAATGCTTATAATTTTAAGGTGTAACTGTTGTACAAATATTATTTTCATGTTGGACTCATTAAAATGGTTATCAGTATCACAACGATATTATTGCAAATATTCGTGATAAAGCTAACGCCTTGGAAAAGTATAAAAAGACCAAATCAATGTTCTATTTAAATCGCTTTAGAATCTTGCAGTCCACCATAAAAACACAAATCAAACAGTCCTATGAAATCTATTTAATAAATGTACAATCATCAATTCGCAATGATCCAAAATCTTTCTGGAATTTCATTAATTCAAAAAAAACAAAGTCAAGAATTCCTGGTAAAATGAACTATAACAATCAAGAACTAGAAAGCCCTCAAGATATAGTAAATGCGTTTTCAGAGTTCTTTAGCAGCGTGTATCTTCCTTACAATTCAAATCCAAGAGGTCGTTCGGAATCGGTAAATAATAGTCAAAATATCAACATCACAAACATTTCGGTTAATGAAGTGAGAGAAGCGATAAAAACCTCAAGAACAAAATGACTTCCAGTTTTGATTCCATACCATCTTTCATAGTGAAAGACTGTAGCTCAGTCTTAGCTTTTCCTTTCTGTTTCCTCTTTAACTTATCGTTAAATACAGCAACGTTTCCTGATGTTTGGAAACTTGCCAAAATTTGTCCAATTTTAAAGAACATGGATGTTTCAAACAACATATCAAACTACAGAGCAAGTTCAATTATCTCAAACTTCGCGAAGGCGTTTGAAATTATCTTGTATAAGCACATTTACTTGTCAACACACAACCAAATAAGTGAATTTCAACATGGTTTCATGAACCTCCACAGCACTGAATCAAATCTAGCACTGTTTTCCCACTACGTGTGCTCAACATTGAATAATCAAAGACAGGTGGACGTGATATACACAGATTTCTCAAAGCATCCTACATTCGAAACTGGACCTTATTGGCCTTAGTAATAAGCTACTAGGTTTTTTGAATCGTACCTTTTTATCCGTAACCAAATAGTTTGTTACAACGGATACAAATAAAACACAATAATTGTTAAGTCTGGCGTACCCCAAGGATCGAATTTGGGACCGCTGTTGTTTTTGATATTTATTAATGATTCAAGCACACAAATAAATTCTATGAAACTTTTTTTTTGCTGATGATCTGAAAATATTGAATTCTATCCAAAATGTGAATGATTGCATAACACTTCAGGAAGATATAGATAATGTGCAGGATTGGTGTGAAATTAATAACCTACATCTGAATATAGGTAAATGTAAAGTCATGTCATATACTAGAAAACATAGACATATTGAACATCCATACAATATTCAAGGTAGTTTGCTAACCCGTTATGTGGAGACTAAGGACTTAAGTGTATTTTTTGACTTTAAAATGGCATTTGCCAATCACATAAACAAAAAAGTTTCCCAAGCTTGAATATACTATATTACTCATATGTCAGATCCAAGCTTGAATACTGCTCAATAACGATTTGGAGCCCCTACTATTTCTGTCATGAGTACTCAATTGAAAAAGTTCTAAGAAAATTTTTGAAATTCTTATACTTCAAAAACACTGGAATTTATCCAGCTAGGGGTTCTGACCACTATAGTCTCCTCAATCACTTTCAATTAATTTGTTTAAAAAAAAGGAGAAGATGTGCTTCAATAACCTTTTTGCATAAACTACTGCACAGCCAAGTAGACTGCCATTTGCTCCTGTTAGAATTGAACTTTAGGGTGCCAAGACCTCAGTCACGGCTGAATCTCACATTTCACTGCTCTGCAGCACGATCAAACAATATCGCATTTTCCAATTAAATATATGTGTGGAAACTACAACTCGATATGTAGCTTTTGCGATATTAATACTTGCTCAGCGAATCATTTAAAAAAAGTTGCAATGGAAATCTTAAAGTGATATCAAAACTGTTTTTTTTGTGTTGTGAGAGAGTCAGTTATTATAATCACTCTTACCAAGTAGCGCAATGAATAGTTATGCTATCAGTTTTTTCTTTTGTTTTAGTTTATATTTTGGAATAAGCAAATTTTCTGAAAGATGAGATTTTAATGACTTTGGTAATCCAATGCATTTTTAATTTTTGTTTTATCTTTTGATGAGAAAAGGAGTTGTTGAAAATGGTCCAAAGCTGATTATAGTTTGAAGAGGGTCAATTCCTTCCTGACTATGTTCTCAATTAATTTGAAGACAGTTCTGATCGAGCCTTTTATAGTTTGCTCTACTGTGATGTCTTCCATACTTGAACTGAAGAAACAACAGTGTGTGACCAGAAATTATCGTCAAAGTTTGTTTACAGGTCAAAAGAAATAAATTCATCAGCGACTATATTAAGTTCGATTCAAATCCGTCAAAATTTATATTGAAATTGTAAACCCAAATGTTTACAGACATTGTATTTGGGGTCCAAGTACTCACAGAAGTTATATTTTTATTATATAGATCCAATATTCCATATGAAATTAATAATAATAATAATTTATTTCCCAAGAGACAAAATAGTGAATTGGAATAGTCAAGTCTAGAAAAAAAAAAACATACAAGATAGATTTAACAATATCACATTCAGAGCTTTTGAATACAAAGACTCACCGTTAAAAATATATAAAAACATATAAAAATGTTATACATTTGAAAAACATCTTGTAGCAAGTAATTTTTGGAGTTGCTTTTTGAAAGTCAATAACGAAGAACAGTTTTTCAATTCATTTGGTAATTTATTAAATGCACGTTAGCCATTATTAGCAGGAGAATAAAAATGTACTCTATTTTTACAAATTGGTATATGGAAGTAATTTTGAGAACGAGTATTTAGTTGGTGTATATCAGAATTCTTCTTGAAAATATAGAGACACAATTCAAAAATATATAACGATGGAAGTGTTAAGATTTCATAGTTGCTGAAAAAACTTTTAGCTCTCTCGGTATTAGGCACATTCATGATGCACCTGATGATTTTTTTTTGTGCAATGAAAACTTCCTGAGACATGGTTGACCATCCCCAGAAACAAACACCATACGAGTCTCCACTTGCCCGTAATATACCATCAGCAATTGAGAATGTGTAAGTAACGTTCTCAATTTTTCAGAAGATAACACTGCGAATGAAGCGCTGATATCAAACTCGAACAATGTACTTTCCAATCGAGATGTTCATCAATGCACATTCCTATGCACTTTATTTTTGACAGATTTGGAAACTGGTTTATCATTTACAGTGAGATCGGGTTGACAATAGTCACTGACAACTGGTCAAGTTATATTTTTTATTTGACAATCAACTGACTTTTTATCAAAATCCAACAAACAAAGGGATTAAATGAAATGAAGAATCAACTAAACACAAAAATTATAATATTCTTCTTCAGCAACAGAAGTCTCCAGTAAGAATACTGTTTGACTTGGAAGGAAGTTCAATGAGCAATAATTCAAGTGGAAAAAGGAAGAGTCGCTTTCCAATTCTTATAACCAATGGCAACTGCTTCAGGTGTTTCTATAAAGAGAACTATAAAGAGAATGAATGAACTGAAAATTTCCATCAAAGAAACTTCAAAAAAAATTCATAAACCAATCATAAAGTAAGCTTACAAAGTAATTTTCAATTCTGAAATTCAAGCTCAGTATCAGTAACGTCAATATTTAACACTATGTCACTGATGTCAAACTTGTTTTGCAACCACACCTTCCCCCTTGTTCCACTTGTCATCTACCCCCTCTATTTTGTACTCGTAACTATATAGTAACCCTGACACTTGAAAAAAATCTTAATTTTCAGAAAAGCAGAAAAGATGTGACAAATTTCGATGCAGAATTTACCAGAGAAGAACCTGTTTTGACACCTGTTAGCAACCAGGTTCTCCAGTCAATCAACCAGGACGAATTCCGAGGTTTCTCAATAATGAATCCAGATTTCAATCCAGCACGTTTTTCAGCAGAGTAAGGATTTTCCAACCAGCAATATACAACATGAAACACCTTCACGTTTCTTTCATTTTCAATCTATTCGTGGGTAAAAATTTTGTAAAAAAATTTATTAATATTTAAATTGGTTTTGTTCACCTCACCTAAGGTGTATTAATTTGTTACAATAGAAGAGTTAGGTTCTTTGATTCTATCATACAGGTTTATGTTGATGAATTTTCCCGTAATTACATAATTGAATTGCATGATTAAAATCGCAGCTTTAGTTGTGAATATGTTATTTGGTTTTGTATATAGAACTTTAGCTGAGTTGCTTCATTCAGTAAGGTTTTGAATGTTGTTGACAAAAACAAATAAATCAAACAATGAATGAAAAGCACTACTGAAATAATCTTGCAACCCATTTGTGGTAATTATGGATTGGATTATCCCTGTGCAAAAACAACTTGCATTTCCAACTTGCATTTTTTGCTTCTATTCTGATGAGGTTATAAGGAGTTTCAGAGAATCTGCTCTTTACTAAGAATTGTATTTTTATTATTTCCAATGGAACTTGACTTTTTTCATTGTTTTTAATTAAACTGGTTTTTTTATTAGTACAGTAAATTCTCAGTTATCCGAAGTAAAGGGGTGACTGCTATTTCGTATGCCGAATGTTATACTTAACTCGTTAACATCCACAAATAACCTACTAAAAGAGAAGGAGAAATGAATCACAAACGATTTATGATGGTATACTCGTTTTTTTTTATTTTTGAATGGGGTATGTTAATCAAAACAATTTATTGTATTATAAAACTCATGTATGAATTACAAAACTCTGTGATTTCTGGGAAATATAAAAAAGGTTTTGCTGTTTTGTATTCAAGAAGTACTCTTGCACTTGTGTGTTGAATCATATTATAGAACCGTTTTGGTTAATTGAGGTTTTACTGTACATGCTTTAATTTTGCTTGAAGTACATTGCATCACTTTTTTGTTAATATTTTCATTTTATCCATTAGATACTTTCTGTGTCTCAACCACTCTGAGACTAAAGAGGTCAGTTGTTTCTCGAGCATAATTTTCTTGTATTTGCAGAAACCAATGAATTGTCTGGAGGAATTTGAATAACGGGCATCTTTTCTGGGTTTACAAATTTCCACAGATCTATTATTTTAATGAGTCTCGTTTATTAAATTTTTAGATGACCGAGTGAACAGTGAAGGAACATTCTAAGAATGGATACTACTAATACATACTGTCTAAAAGGGCAGTCTCTTAAAAATGATGAAACATAAATTGTATAAATTGGATAAACAGGGATAAATTGTAATAATTGGATAAACAAAATTTGGATACTTCCTCAAAAGAAATATTTAACCTTTGGACTCCCTACAAATTTCCAAAACCTTTCACCAAAGAAAGGAACTTTCTTACATGACTTATGCTTTTTTCAATATTTATAGTTCAATATTATCTTGATTTTCTAGTTTATCCTGAAAAGGTATCAAATACAGTAATTCCTCCTAAATAATTCATATGGTGTTCCTACATTCTTTAACATTTTTTGGTCGATATTCTCTCTTTACTACTCATTAACTTCAATTATATTAGCATTCAAATAATAATTCGTAACTAGATTGCTAGATTTGAAGAGTTATAATAAATAAGTATAATATAATAAACATGTTCAGTGAGTCGGCCAAAAAGTGTCATCTTCATGCTTAAGGTAGTGCCTTTGAAGGAATTTTAAATATTTTTGACCAGTCTTAGATTTATGCCTTATACGTTGATAATATTTTAGATCTTATTATGATGATCTCATAAATAACTTTTATGAGATATATTTGTGAACTCTGACGGTTTTTATGTTTTATTTTCTTGCTGTGATTTCTGGATGTCCTACAATGTTAAGAACAGAAAAATGTAGATTATTGAAATAACGTATTACTCTAGTCATGAAAGGCCTATGGCCTGGGCCTATATATAAAGATTGTAACGAGTGGGTTGCATTAGTCATTCATTTCAAAACACATTAAAAGAATCCTAGAAAAAAAGTAATTTAAATTTTCCAATTGATTTTTAATTGAAAACAGATTTTGACTTATTTTTTCTAACTGAAATATTTTTTCCAGGATTCAGCTTGCTGTACACTTGTAAACAATACATCTAGACTGTACTTGCCCTTGAGTATGGGTGGATTTCAGGTACAAAATATTGCGAATTCAACTGATTACAAAGTTCAGAATAATTTTCAGTTAAAATATCAAGTATTGTCCTAAATATGTAGAAATTGAAAAAATTAATCTTTTCTTCGCCCATTGGGCTCAGTGTAGTATAGAGGGAATTGTTGAATTTGCCTTGAATTTTTGTGCAAAATCCATTCCCTAAAGCACGTTGAACTCATGTTTTTCTAGTTACATTGTTGTGATACTATGGAAATATGCAATTAGGTGACATGTTTTTAGGAATTGTGCATAAAAATTTACAAAGCCTTTATAATGAAATAGTATATTCGAACAGAATGTGTGATATTTTAAATGATTTATTTATACCAACTTCCAAAAAAATATATGAATAGGACTTAAATAAAATTTACAATAATGTAGGTCTTGGAGCATATTTCACAAATTTTGATTATGTGGTTGTACTGACAGTGAAAATATTTTTAAGATTTTTTTTTTGTGAATTTTACTACACATTTTTATTTATATTGAACTTTTGTGTAAAACTGCTTGATTGGAACCACATAGAAAACAGTAAGATACATTTCGAAGAAATGTATATATTGTTGAAAATAATTATGTAATGTTTTAGATATTCATTAATGTGAGCTTAGAGTAGGGAATATTAAGTGAAAAGAAATAAATGCTATCATTAGTAAATGTTTAGATCTCTGTATCACAGGTTTGTGTTAGCACTAAGCTGTTAAAAATTTGAGAAATTGTCAGAGATATGGTCTTTACCATCACCTTAGCATTCAATTCAAGATAATTTTCAGTATGGTTGGTGATTTGCTTATGTACTTATTGTAGGTTTAGTAGAAGTTTTCTATATTCCATTACAATATTTGGTTAGAAGTGGAAAAACTTTTTCAGTTGACTGTGAAGAGTTTAAGACCAAATTTTATCAATTCTCATCTGTATCTTGTAACTTTGGATACATAATTTTGTTTAAATTGAAAGGGTATATTTGAAAAAGTGAAGCCATTTTGATTTCAAGTTAACAGCTACGGAGTCGAAAACTTGAGCATTCACCTAAAATATATATAATGAAGATTATTTATTTTGCTTCTACTATACCTCTTCCATTAAGTTATTGATAATTCAAAAAAATTAAATTCTTGAAACAAGCTTACAGTTTTGTGCCAAACAATATCCATTTCTAGCTGTTTGCACTCATTTCGTAACACCTATCAACCATGTTATTGTTTATCATATTAGTAGTAGTGATGTGTTGTACATGGTGTACCTATTTCTCTGATGGTGTACTAAAATATAAAAAATAAACAATTTACTGTATATTTTATCTCTTTCAACCTATTATTATCCAATGGGGGTTTTTTTAATTCGAGGGTCATCTCTTGATGCATACAAACTATAAACAGTCCAAGACTAAGTAGCCTTCATCCAGTTCTACAATGATTAAAACACTAAACTTGTTTAACCTCCATGCAACGAGACACAAAATATTTAATAAATCAACATTATTACAGAATTACAACTAAAATCTATAAAAACAAAGTTATGCACTTACATATACCTGGCGATTCTCTACGGTGACTCACCCCTATAACTGTTTTATTATTGGAGATAGAAAAATTAAATTTGGGGGTTGTGTATTATAGTTCAATTTACATTTTTTGACATATTTACTTACTTTGCTGTACTTCTGGTTTGACCGGAAATGACCCCAACTTTCGATTTTTAAATGGGACATCCTATATATTTTTACTCATTTCGATCGAGAATGACACTTCTAAATCCAACAATACTTCACTTGTCAATATTTGACAAAATCATTTTTATTCCGATTTTTATTTTTTGATCTAGAATGCCATGGATCGTGTAAATCGCTTCATTCTTGATGAAGTAACATGGGTAAACTATGACTTTGAGACTTATGACTTCACAGTCGTTTTAAAAATTATTTCAGTCGCAAATATGAATTTCTCCAGTTAACTTGATTTTTTCAAATGGAAAGGGGGTTGCTCGTCGGCTTTTTGAGAAAAAGATCATTTTCTTACGAATAATTTGATGCCACCCACTTTCACTTCATATTCTCTATTTTTCTGAATAATT